GCTCTCTCTATTATTGACATAACAAATGATGAAGTCAGGAGCACATGGGGAAACGTTGTGATGGATTTTCTGAATTGGCCATAAAATGGAATAATAATAAAATCCCCTGTAATTAATGAGAATTATTGGAATCAGTCAATCAATCAATAAAAGATGAAGGTGTCAAGAAGTTCAGAAGTCTCTATGTGGAAATTGTAACCGGTTTAGAACTTTACACACAAACACGAACAATCTCCAGTTGAATTTAACAGCAAATGTCCTTGTGTGATTATCGCTGATCAATAAATGATCCGTGTTTTCAGTTGCACGTGCTGGCTGTGAAATCCAGTGTGGTTTTTATACATAATACTCACCAGAGAAGCTTCTACCTTAATAAGAAACTCTGTTAGTGACAAACTCAGCCGTCCCTCTGTGATCCACGGATAAGTGTCAAGAATAGATGGGATGGACGGATAGAGAGGGATGAAGAAGAGTCAGGCTGTTAGACTAATGGACGGAGACAAAAGGCGAATCTGCAGAGATGACGAGAGGCGCTGCTGAGTTTAATCCACAGAGAAGCCGAACTGAAATCTCCTACAGACCCGCTGCACTCAGCCTCTTTTCTTTCTAATCTTTCCTTTCATTACTGCATCTCTTTTTTCTCTACTTCTCTTTATCCATGTATCAAGTTATCCCCTTCTCACTTTCATTAATTTCTTCTTCCTTTTCATGTTCATCCCTCTATTTTGAATGACTGCTGGGACACTGTTAAATAATCAATCTATCTATTTATCTATCTATCTTCCTTTTTTAGTGTTTCCACTCCTCAGTCCATCCTTTCTTCCTTGTTGTCTATTTATTATATTTTCCCTCCTGTTTTCCTTGTTTTTTCTCATCATCTTCTTCCTCCTTAACACTTCTGTAATAACTTTCATTTTTCTTTCCTCATCACCTCATCCTTTCTTCTTCTCTCTTCCACCTTTCTCACCTCACATCTTCCACCTCCACCGAGGAGGTTATGTTATCGTCTACACATCTGTTTGCCTGTGCGGGATTATGCACAAACTACAGGATGGAAGGAGACTTTTGCACCTTGATGGAGGTGTCCACTCTGTTTCTGTTTGTAAACCTCATTGAAGCCACAGGAATAAGGAAAGAGATAAATCCTCCCTCCTTTTCAATCCAAAGACAAAGCTCAGCGCATTTGAAGGAACCCAGATTACCAATAGTGACATTTTTATTATTTGTACAATAGAGACTTTAGTACATTATTCAAAACACTTCTTATATACTGAAAAAATGGTACGTCCCAAAGCCCAAAATGGCTCCAGTGTAATCGCTGCACAGCATTTTTTCAATTTTATACATATATTATTTTTTGTAAAAACTGTATCTTAAATAGTATGTACAGATAGCGTCTGCAAAATGCATTCTAAACACATGATATATATTATATATACTTCAGCAATTACATTTCTCCGCATTAATACTCAAACTTAAAACTGGAAGGATTTCAACTTGCATGTGCAAATAAACAAAGAAATAAATAGTTCTGTTTAAAATCGCCACTAAAGTTTGTTCCGACTTACAACTCCACAGCGGTTCTCTCTCTTCGGAGGTCAAAGTACTTTTTTTTTGTCACACAACAGAAGAAGCAGCATTCAAGTTGGGTAGGTGTAGGTACTGCAGAAAGCATGAGTACATTCACAATCAATATGAGTCAGTTTAAATTTCATTCACAGCTATGTACAGTGATACCGTCCTCAGCATTTGTCCAGCTCTTATGTAGTTTAAACACATAGAAAAAAATGACTGTTTTTATAGCCATATACATATATTTATATATTTATATATATAATATATATTTGTATAACACAAATTCACAATTACAGTAGAAATACATTTTATACAGGTTTGGATAGTACATGTGTAGGTCTCCAAGTCATACTGTGCGTACTTCCATCCTTTGTTATAAGTGTCATTATAAAATATCACAATTTTTGAGCAAAGCTAAGGTATATCAATATATTTAGAAAGAATTACCTGAAACATGTAGTAAAAAATAATTATATTATCAAACCTTTTTTAGTCTGTTCGCATCACAATATCTTTGATATTTCAAACTCTAAATAGTTGTTGGGTGGGAACCGGTGGTTAAACTCTCAACCACACGACCCGTCTGTGCCATTTTGTGTCCCCTTACGTTGACTGAACTGATGCTTATGGGGAGAGTCGACACAAAATGGCCACAAGATGACGCCGTCATGTCAAGCGGATGTCAGGATGTTGCTTTGCTCCGGATGAAACATTAGAACATGTGTTGCGTTAACATGAAGACAAAAAAAATTTGCTTGTTTTTTCTGTCATGTCTCTACTACGTGGTTTTATCACTTTGGCCAGAAACTTCTCGGACAGTACGAGTGTCCACATCTGGACCGGGTTCAGGTTCATGTTTCCTCTGCTCTGCTCAATGTCATATTTCAAGTGTAATCCGACCAGAGTCACAGGTAATTTTGAACATTCAGTAACAAAATTGGCAAATCTGTCAGTTAGTATTTCCTCAGTTTAAAACAGCTACGCAGAAATCTCAAGTGTAGCCAAAAGCCTTTGTGACACAGATCATAATTTCCCTGATTGTCTAAAAGGGAACATACGTCTTAGGTTTGGAATATACTTGCTGTTGACTAAGTGTGTGCGTCCGCAAGATCGCTGCTTCGTGTGTCCTGTGTCCGTTTGGTGCGTAGGTTACAATTCCTCAGAAATTAACACGACATGTACGCAAGATGTAACAACAACATAATGGGTCGGAGCGATGGCGAGTCCCCGACATGGTCGATGGCCACGTCATCAACGACAGAGATGACGCAGAGTTTTGAGGTGCGAGATGAGTAAACCTGCCGTTTTTCCGACATGTCTGATTTAGGGATCCGACCTAATCGTGGCATTTTCATTAGAGTCGCCATCTTTGATTTAGTTTACCGCATGCAAATTGCAAGTTCTATGGTGTGCCCTCTACTGGAATCCTCCGGTTACATGCATAGTACCTTTGCAAGTTGGTGAATAATGTTCACGATGCAGCCAGTTGTGCCTGTGTGGTTAAACAGCAAGTATATCACAAGCCTAACACCCTCCAGATTCTTGAAGTACTTCCTCTTTTCTCTATTTCTTTTCACAGGGAGGTCAGAGGTCACTTCAGCAGAGCAGATAATTGCTGGCACGTAGATTTATAGTCAGCCCAAACTGTTAAATAACAATTCCACCCTGTTATGGTTTGCAGATCAGATCTGGGCCACACGGAGGTAAAGCTCTAACGTTCTTTTGTGTAAATACAACCAGGGAGGCTCAGAGTCAGGCTCTGTATGGCACCAACTTTAAAATATCAGTCTCACTGAAACTCAGTGGTATAAAAGTCTAGAAGCTGACAGACCGATGATGTGAAAGCATGCTGTGACCATCATACAACTCAAACAGCTAGAGAAGTGACGTTGCTGTGACAACACTAGAAAACAGGAGCTCAAAATATGGCACGGACACGAATCATGTTACAGTGTGTTCACGTGTGAGTGGTTTTAAAACAGCATCACTTCTGAAATCAGGCTAAAACAAGGACAGGCTTCACTAAACAACAGTGCACGGATCACACCCTGAACATTTGCCGTACACGGGGGCACATGTGTGTGTTTGCCTGCTAGCTCATGTGCATGGCAGTGTGTGTGTGTGTGTGTGTGTGTGTGTGTGTGTGTGTGTGTGTGTGTGTGTGTGTGTGTGTGTGTGTGTGTGTGTGTGT